AATGGACTCATATCCACAACTACAGTTTGATATACAATAGTTTCATTACACAAAAATTCCTGTATGTGACCCCTTTATAAAAGTCAATCCCTTCCTCAATGCCTAGCAACCACTCACCTCTTTTCTCTCCCTATAGTGTTGCATTTTCCAGAATGTTATATAGATAGAATCATACAATGTGTATTCCCAAGATTTGATTATCAGCAAGTTTGGCAACCATTATTCTTACTAATTCAGATACCATGTGATAAAGCACTAACATCCAACTAATCACCAAACTGGGAGTCAGTCTCATTTTAGACACATTTTTAAAGGGTATAACCTCCCAGATTGGTTAAATTATCTAAATTTGGAAGAACCTTGTCTGAGGTGCAAAGAGGTCTTCTTTCCTTTCAAAGATGCATGAGAAGATACAAGAAAAGCTTTGTTACCCTGCTGACTTCTTCCTTCCTCTCTTGAGAGCACACTTCCATTTCCACCCATTTGAGTTATATTTGTTTCCAAACAAGTTTATGCCAGTTATGTTACTGTTAGTCACATATTATAATTACCTATTATCATATGAAGCTTTGAAATCAAGTGTAAAAAGATAAAATAGTCAAGAAAAACAAAGTTACATGCTGTGGAAGTACTCAGAAGTATATTGATTGAAACGGGGGGGGGGGGGGGGAAGGGGGGGGACTTCTATTGACTTAAAGCCAGAGAGAGAAATTATCAAAATTTAGAAGTATTCTGAATTCAAATGGCTTTGTAAATTCTTTTAGGTTCTCACTCCATTTTAAAGAAATATTGAAATGGCAAAATGTAGTAGTTATTTTTGATACGTTAAAAAATTGTAGATATTAATGAGGTACCATGTTTCAATACTGTATACACTGTATAAAGTTTAAATAAGGTTAAATGTATCCATCTTCCCATTTATCATTTCTTTATGGTGAAAACATTCCAAATTTTTTCTTCTACCTTTCTGAAATGAGTAGTATATAACTATTATTTATAGTCACCATACTGTGCAACAGCACACCCAAACTTCTTAACTCCTCTCTGCCATAACTCAGTACTCACTGATCAACCTTTCCCCATCGCTCCCTGGCACTCTCCCCAGCCTCTGGTAACCATCATTCTATCTCAACTTCTAGAGCAAACTTTTTTGGATTCCACAAATGAGTGACATCATGCAGTACTTGTCTTTCTGTGCCTGGTTTATTTTACATAATATAACGATCTCCAGTCCCATCCACGTTATCAAAATGACAGTATTTCATTATGTCTAAATAGTATTCAATTTTTGTCTATATACCACATTTTTAAATCTGTTCATTAACTTAGATCATTTCCATCTCTTGGTCATGGTGAACAGTGAGTGTGAATATGCTAATAGGAGTATAGATGTCTTGTCAAAATACCAATTTCATTTCCTTTGGATAAACACCCAGTAATGGTATTGCTGGGCCTCATAGTTCTAGTTCTCCTTTTCTGAGGAAACTTCATATTGTTTTTCATAATTGCTGAACTAATTTACATTCCCACCAACAGTGTAGAAGTTCCCCTTTCTCTGAATTCTCATCAGCATTTACTTTTCATTTTTTAAAACAACCATTCTAAGTGAGGTAAGATGATAGCTCACTGTGGTTTTGATTTGCATTTCCTTGATGACATAGTCATATTGAACATTTTTGAGCATTTTGGCATATAATTATTGGCCATTTGTATGTGTCCTACTGAGAAATGTCTATTTAGTTCTACTGCCCATTTATATAATGTTTTTGATTTTTTAAAAATTTGTTCTAGGGCTGGGGATGTGGCTCAAGTGGTAGCGCGCTCGCCTAGCATGTGTGAGGCACTGCGTTTGATTCTTAGCACCACATAAAAATAAAATAAAAGATATTGTGTCCACCTAAAACTAAAAAATAAATATTCTTTTAAAAATTGTTCTAATTAGTAATATGATAGTAGAATGCATTTTGACACATCATATATAAATGAAACTAATGCCCATTTTTAAAAATTTTTTTTTGATGTTTAGCTTTTTGTTCCTTATATATTCTTCATATTAACTCACTGTCACATGTATAGTTTGCAAATATTTTTTTTCCCATTTTGTAGGTTATCTATTCACGCTGGTGATTGTTTTCTTTGTTGTGCAGCTGTTTAGTTCCATACAATTCACTTGTTTATTTTTTGCTTTTGTTTTCTGTGCTTCGGGGTCTTGTCCAAAAAATATGCTTGCCCATTTTCATGTCCTGAAGTATTTTCCCTATGTTTTTTTCTAGTAGTTTCATAGTTTCAGGTCTTACATTTAAGTCTTTAATACATTCTGAGTTGCTATTTGTAACTGATGGAAGATATAAGCTGGAAGAGGTAACTGAATGGTATGGCATGTTTGGCATGCACAAGACCCTGGGTTTGATCACCAGCACCAAAAACAAAAACAAACAAAAGAAATAAACCTTAAATTTTGTTTCATACCATACATAAAAATAACCTGAAAAGGATAAATAAGCTTAAACCTAAGAACTAAAATTACAATACTTCTAGAAGAAAACAAAAAAAGAACGTTTTAGTGGTCTTCAGTATGGCAAAGATTTTTTTACATATAACACACAAAGTACAAACACTTTTAAGTTAATACACTGGACTTCATCAAAATTTTAAACTTCTTCTTTTCAAAAAACATAATTATAGCTGGGCACAGTGGTGTATACCTGCAATCCCAGCAGCTCAGGAGGCTGAGTCAGGAAGATCTAGAATTCAAAGGCAGTCTCAGCAATGGCTAGGTGCTTAGCAACTCAGTGAGACCCTGTCTCTAAATAAAATTTTTAAAATGTTGCTCAGTGGTTAAGTGCCCCTGAGTTCAATCCCCAGTACCAACAACAACAAAAAAAAAAAAAAAAAGGAGAAGAAAGAAAGAAAAACATGATTATAGCCAGGCATGGTAGCTCATACCTGTAATCATAGTGACTCAGGAGGCTGAGGTAGGAGGATGGTAAGTTCGAGGCCAGCCTCAACAACTTAGTGAGACCCTGTCTCAAAATAAAAAAAGGGCTGTGGGATTATGCTAAGTGAAACTAGCCAATCCCTAAAAAACAAATAAATGCCAAATGTCTTCTTTGATATAATGAAAGCAACTAAGAACAGAGCAGGGAGGAAGAGCAGGAGGAAAAGATCAACTTTAAACAGAGACATGAGGTGGGAGGGAAAGGGAGAGAAAAGGGAAATTGCATGGAAATGGAAGGAGACCCTCATTGTTATACAAAATTACATATAAGAGGTTGTGAGGGGAATGGGAAAAAAAAACAAGGGAAAGAATTAAATTACAACAGATGGGGTAGAGAGAGAAGAGGGGAGGGGAGGGGAGGGGGGATAGTAGAGGATAGGAAAGGTAGCAGAATACAACAGTTACTAATATGGCATTATGTAAAAATGTGGATGTGTAATCCATGTGATTCTGCAATCTGTATTTGGGGTAAAAATGGGAGCTCATAACCCACTTGAATCGAATGTATGAAATATGATATGTCAAGAGCTTTGTAATGTTTTGAATAACCAATAAAAAAAAAAAGGGCTTCGGATGTGGCTCAGTGGTAAAGTGACTCTGGGTTCAATCCCTAGAACCCCCCCACCAAATATATATATGTATACACACACACACACAAACACACACACACACATATCAACAAGCAACACACAGACCAGGACAAAATATTTGATATATGCAGACTATATAAAGAACTCTAACATCTCAAAATAAGAAATGACACGGCTTTTTAAATAGGCAAATTTTATAAAATACTTAGCCAAATTTTGGGACACTTAACCAAAGAGGATAAACAGACAGCAAATAAACAAATTAAAAGATGCTCAATATCATTAGTTACTAGAGAAGTATAAATTAAAACCACAGGGATATACTATTATACATCCACCAGAAATGACCAAAATTAAAAAGACTGGCCATAAGAAATATTAGTGAGGTAGGATAGATAGAACTATCCTATACTGTTGGTAGTAATGCAAAATGGAAAACAAAAACATTTTGGAAAACAAAACTGATTTGGCAGTTTCTTGAAAAGTTGGATATAACTATTCTATGATACAGCCATTCTTGCTCCAAGGCATTTGTCCAAGACAAATAAAAATATATGTCTATACTAAGACATTGGTAAAAATTCGTAGGAGCTTCATTTCTAATAGCTAAAACCTGGGAACAAACCAAATATCCTTTAGCAGATGAATGGATAAATTATGGTAAATAAAAACAACAGGATACTACTCAGAAATAAAAGGAATCACATGAATCTCAAAATAATTATGTTAAGGAAAAGAAACTTGACAGAAAAAGGTGTCATTAAAAAATGAGGAATCTTTTGGTGGCTATGAACATATTCATCATCTTGATTGTTGTGATGGTTTTATCAGCACATTTATGTGTTAATATTTATCAAATTCCTCACTTTAAACATATGCAGTTTACTCTAAGCAAATTTAATCTCAATAAAGACATTAAAAATTTATGATATATGAAGTTATTTTTTATGATTCCCCACACTGATTTTTTAATTCACCAACCAACTATTGTTCCTATTTTTATCAAATGAGAAGGCTTCTACTAAACTTACTACTAACACTTTCAATGCCCAATGTACTCACCAACCCCTGACAATGTGCTCTTGGAAGATAATATATGTTCTCCTCTACCCACAGAATTCCAGTGAATATCCTAGAGGTAATAAAATCTGTGCTGAATAAGACTAAATTAGCATTCCTTTCACTTATATCCATTTTCATGAGGCTAGGACTACTCTTCTGTAGATTCACTTATGACAACACTCCGGACCTTCCTCAGAATAATTCTATTGCAGTCTGCTCTGAACTTTACCTATTGATTGCAAGCAAAATGAATAATAACCATTACTACTACTAATCACAGAAATAAAGTTGAAGCACTCAAATGTATAAACCTTTTATTTAAAATGAGAAAATTAAATACATGTTAAATCAAGTATAATACAAAATATCAAGCCTTCCTAAAACAGGTTATAACCACTTTAAATCTTCTATTTCTAAAATAAAATTAAAGAGAAATCTAAAAATAGTTGAAAATAAAATTATTTTAAAACTCTTATTGTGAACATTAAAAATATTACAAAACATGGGGGAGGAGATGTAAATTAGTGGTATACTACTTGCCTACCATGCGCAAGGTCCTAGGTTTGATCCCCAGCACCACTAAAGAAAAAAAAAAGTTTCAGAATAATCAAATCTGTAAGAAAGCAAACAAAGCCACTGCAGAGTGATTCTGCTATTCATTAAAATCAACAAAGGAATTAAAATTCAGTGTGATTTCTATTCATACATAGATAAGAAGTACCACATTTAAAAAAGACAACTATCCATTTCTCTCCAAGGCTGTGAGGAGTGCTTTATTTACTTGACTTTCAATTTCAATATGGCACAATGGGGTTTATCAGTGAAAGCAGAATCATTAAAAATGTTTAGCGCTGGGGTTGTGCCTCAGCGGTAGAGCGCTTGCCTAGCATGTGCTGTTATGGGCCAGGCTATATGGACAATGACCAAACAGACTCCATTTTACCCTGAGACTCTATATCATGTAAGAAATGCTTCTCTCATGGGAAAGCCCCACCTCTGTACCCATTAATAGTTACCTAGCATAACACACTTGGAAACACAAAACAGCAATTCTTATACGATGTGAAATTGTTCTCTGCTTTCCATTTTTCTTTGGTAACGTACCTTGTCAGAGATTGTCTAGACGTTAGTAACCATTCTCTAACTTGTACTCAACTAGGGTCCTTTTGACCCCCTTCCCTTCTGCTTGCTTGCTGCTATGCCATCCTGGAAAGTCCCGTGGGAAGTACCAATGTACCCACTGCATTGTCTCACTAACTGCCCAACTCAGCTTCTGTACCTGCTTGCCTGCAGCTACATCAACCCAGATGTGATTTTTAACTTTAAATATCCTAAAATGCTCAGGCTTGGGGCTGCTCCTTGCAGAGACAGTTATGGGTCTTACAAGGAGCAGTCACCAGCTGGCCAGCTAAATAAAGATTCTTCAATTTGAACAAAACTGGAACTTGATGTGTTTTCTAAGTGGCCTGCCCCACAACATTTGAAGGCCCCAGCAAGATCTACTCTTCTCGCATCCCGGAGACCAACAAGGGAGGTGAAGTGGTGGAGAGATCGCCTAGGAGAAGGCCTCTGAGAAATGTTCCTCAGGCCTGGGGCCATCCCTCCACCAACCCCCACCCAACAAAAAGTACTAAGAGTCATCTGTGTTTCCCTGAGCAAAGTAAGTCCGATCTAGAGAGGCTCAGAAAAAGCTAGACACAGCATTATTTCCTGGAGTCCAGGGCTAGGAAGTCCTCTGGTCCAGTCCTCTGGTCTGGTTTTTCCTTGGTTCTCTGGTCTGAGTGTGGTTTTCCTTGGTCGTCTGTCTGGTCCAAGTCTGGTTTTTACTAAGTCCTTTGTTCTGAGTGTGGTTTTCCTTGGTCTTCTGTCTGGTCCAAGTCTGGTTTACTCAATCTTCTGGTCTGAATCTGGTCTTCTGTCAGTTAAATTTGTCCTTGGCACCTTACCTGTTGTGTGTTTTATTGTCTGTCTTGTGTTTTTTTCTTATTTGTTGTTTGTTATTGTTTGTCCCTTTTTTGTTTCATGTTAATTTCTATGGGTTTTTTTTTCTAATGTTAAAAAATGGTTTAAAAGGTTTTTACTGTGCTCACCAAAGCTTGCATTAAAATGTAAATGGCTGACAACAGGATTAAAAAAAAAAAAAAGGTCAAAAGTAAAAGCTAAAGGTATGAAAAGGCATTCTAGAGATTGCCTTCATTTAGGAACTGGGCCAGGAGGCCAATTCAGTTCCTATAGAAGGCAGATTAGGACTAAAGTATTTTATAAAATTATTACTTCTAAATTGTATAATAAAAAGCATAATCTTGTCTAGGAAATTGGCTTTTGTCTCTCAGTATTTGCAAGCATGAATAACTCCCAACTATTAAAAATGGTTCAAAGATTTTTCAATGTCAGGCTAAAATTTGGTGGCCACTATCCAAGAAACCAGAAAAACCAGTTTAGAATGGGACCCTACCTGGGGGGACTCTCTCCCAAGGAGACAATCGTGCTGTTTCTTTGGGAAGTTCCTACAGGGAAGAATAAGTCCCGTCATTTGTCTATGTTCCCTTAACTCTTTTTAGCTTTGATAAGCAGGACCACCTCAGGACGAAGGCCAGGAAGGCTTTTAAAATTCTATATTTGTTAAATTCATGTTTTTGATCTGATAGGCATAGGTTAATGTTTTTCTGATTACACTCTGCTTTGTTCTAAGGCCAATTTACAATGGCTAACTCTCAATCTAACAGGTTTTTAAAAAATAACCTACAAAGCTTTTGTTTGTCTGTCTTGTGTAGGTGCACAGGTGTACTGTCCATCTACATGTACTGCCATGTCTACATATATCTGGCACCAAAAATTGACATATGAGCTCATAAATTAAAACTTAAAAAGTGCATCCAAATACCTTTGATTCATATGATTTAAAAGGTTGAACTTAAACTGGGTAAATAAATAAAAGTAAAAATGTCTTCAAAGTTAGTCATGCACAGTTTTGTTTCTAAAATGTCAAACAGTTGTTAATAAAATGTTAATGTCTATAAAGTGTCTAATATCCATTGTCTCTAGATTTCTCTTCAACAGAAAAAAATGTCTAATGCTGTTCAATGCATTTGTCTGATATATTGGTTTTGTTATTTTTTTTAATAAGTAAATTAGATCTGACATGTATGGAATTAATCATGGATGTGTTTGTTACAGACATCTGATTGGTTTACAAAGTTTAAATGTTAACTGTTAAATATAATATCAAGTACTCTTAACTCCTTAAACTCCATAAGGTAAAATACTTAAACATTATTGGTGTTTTCATAAATTCGTAAATTAAAAAATAAAAAAGGAATTTAAAATTACTTTCTGTCATCACAAAAACAAGGTTACTAAAAGTTAAAAGTGCCAATAGGTATAATTCTATACACAAGGGGTCAAGAGGTTTCAACTGCATTTCAATTAGCGTACTGTAAATAACAAAAGTATTTCATCTTATTAAAATGGAGTAATTTATCAATTATCAATATATCAAGGTATAAACAAAGAGGGATTAATGGATTAAAAATTATTAAAAGGTTCTAAATATAAAATATATTTAGAAAAAATGTTTAAGAAAGTCTTTATGTGGTAAAGTATAATTATAATACATCTAAGTAAACAATAAGAGGGTCTAATTAAGTAATATAAAGGTCTATAATAAAGGATAAATATTAAAAGGTTTATATATAATTAAGTTAGTTATATATGTAACACAAATAGTTGAAACTATTCAAGGTTGTTCCCTAAGAACAAATATTAATATGCTGATAAAAACCAAAGTTTGACCTATATGTTAAAATGACAAAAACTTCTTAACAGGGGCTGGGGATGTGGCTCAAGTGGTAGCGCGTTCGCCTGGCAAGCACGGGGCGCTGGGTTCGATCCTCAGCACCACATAAAAAAAAAAAGATGTGTGTCCGCCAAGAACTAAAAAATAAATATTGAAAAATTCACTCTCTCTCTCTCAAAAAAAAAAAAAAAACTTCTTAATATATTAATTACATTGTATCTGAGGTTTTATTCTCTAGAGCAACTAATCTTGGAGAAATTAAGGTTTGTACATCTGTAGTTAAACAGCAACTGTCATTTTAGAATATTGTTCTACATTACAGAGTCTAGATTTTTCTTTAAAAGCTAAACTTGGTTACTATAAAAACATCAATGTAATTGTGGTACATTACTCTTCTTTACATATTAATTGTGTTCATATCTTTCAGGTATACAAGGTAAAAGGTTTAAAGGAGCATTTTAACAAGCTGGTGTTCTCCAAATTAAAGTTGTCTGTAATGATAATTTTAAACTTATAAATATAACAGATTTTATTGGGGATTTATTTATATCATTTGATGTTTTGTAACCAAAATTTATGTTACTTTTTACACTGTGATACAAAAATTGAAAGGTATTTTAAAAGACAATGAGAGGGGCTGGAGACATAGCTCAGTTGGTAGAATGCTCGCCTCACATGCACTAAGGCCCTGGGTTCAATCCTCAGCACCACCAAAAAAAAAAAGATAAACTGATCTGTTTAAAGGTTAATACTGTAAAACATTTTGCCACTTTTCCACCCAAAAGGAAAGTTAAGAGCTCTCAGCCTTTCCTTGATTCATGTTTTAGATGTAATGTCACATTGAGTTAGCAAACTTTCATACAGACTCAGGAAACAATATATGCAAACTTTATAAAAGGATATCTAAAAAGAGAGACAAATTTCAGCTTCAGAACTAGAATACTTTACCTAAGATTTGTGAAGAGCCCAGCCTTAGCTGAGATAAGGCTCTCTACCTCCCACCCTACGGCATGTCAGAATGACTTCAAAGTAGGCCAGACTTCAGTTGATTTAAAGTTGTATTCAAAGATTGACTTCATTGTAAAGATTACTGTGATCTCAAATAGGGGATATAATGTATAACTCAGCCAAGGTTCAAGATTATATACAAGCTAAATAGGTTTTTACTATTGTTTATTTCACTTTGTATTTTCCTTATAATTGATGTCTGTTAATGTTTTGCAGAGGTAACTTCAAGAACACACAACCTAAATTAATTTGAGATATTAAGCCACCAGCTGTAGACAGTAATTCAAAGGGATTAAATTAATTGTAAAGGGAATAGGGTTGTGGCTCAGCAGGAGAGTACTTGCTTGCATATGTGAGGCACTGGGTTTGATTCTCAGCATCAAATAAATAAATAAATAAATAAATTTATTGTGTTATGTACAACTAAAAAAAAATTAACTGTAAAGTTATAAACATTAAAGTTAAAGGCCAGTACTCTTAGTTTAAGACTGATAAGAATGACTTGCTGGATGTTTAAGACTAAGGCTTAAAGATTCAGGTTAAAATAAAGGGGCCAAGAAAACCGATATTTGGCTCTTGCCCTCTGAGTCAGCCTGAACCCAGGAAAAAGGAGAAGAGTTTCGCAACTCTGGGCCACATAACCTCCCGATAAGGGAGACTAACGAGACCACTACAGAACAGAAAGCCAATGAGTGTGTATGCTGCAAAAGAGGAGGGTTATTGAAAAGGGGAGACATGCCTGATGCTTCCAAGGGAAGCCACATGGTCAGCAAGACCTTGACCCATCCTAACGCAGATGGCACTAAAATGCTGCTCATGATTTCCCCAAGATTGCCCTCCAAGGGAACTCAGCTGACTCTTACCAATAGATAGGAGCAAGGTCAGTTTGACCAGCTTGATCCTAAACACCTAGCAAAAACAGTTAAAACCAAAGCACAGCCATTCCTGGGCAATTAAAAACAATATTTTAATCTAACTTAAGATGTACACTTGTGTTAGCACTCCAAGAATAAGTAAGACTGGAGGCAACAGAAGAGAGATTCTTAGGCAAGGATGCCTGATAACTATCAATAGAAACTGCCAGAGCCAGAAGTTTTTAGTCAGTTTAAGGCCTACAGATCTTCCTAACCTCCTACACAGGTAGACTTAATCAATGTCTGCTAGTATTATCTAACCCTAAGTAACAAAGGGATCTCTACTGAACACAGAGGTCATGCCAATAAAAAAGATATTTTACAAAAATCAGATGACATTAACTAACTTAACTAAATGTTGTGTCTACATTCCTTTTAACTCTGACAATGTTAAAGATTTATGTTCCCTAAAAAGGGACCTTATTAGGCTTTGTTAGGCCTTGTTATGGGGACAATTTCTCAGGTCTTCCACCTCCTGGTAAACAATTATTGATTTCTATCATCTTCAGGATATTCACTGACAGGTTCCAGATGCTACAACTGCTATTTTGTATGCCCACCCCCAGGTGAATTTACAATCGGTTCTTCCTGAACCAGATTTTTACCATGGACTCCTTGACCCACCCAATTTCTAAAAAGGGACTCCAAACTGCTTGCCCCACTGCACATTGCCCCCTCTCAGCTCAAAGCACCAAGAGCAGTCATCGTCCTTTTTCCTTACAGCAGTAGGAGGTCCCTAACATTAGAGGGGAAAATTACAGTCAGAATAGATAAATAATTGATTTAAATCACAAAATGAAGGCCAGCTTAAGTCCAGAAAATGTTAAATCATCTTTTTCTCTTGCTCAGCCTATGATTTTAGATCTCATGACATTTGTTTATGGTTTCAAATCATAACAACAGCCATTTATGAGTAATATGGTTTTGGACTACAAAAGGTAGAGTCAAACATTAGGAAACTTATAAGAACAAGGCTTATGCTTCCATTCCAAATACATAACTCCCCTACTGACATTCCTGTCTTTCCACCCAGGTATTATTAAATACACTCCAGGAGTCTTCTAATTTCTGTGTGGCTCCAGAAGGTATTTGGTTTGCCTGCCTATCAAGAGTAACTCCCTGCTTGTCCTACAGCTTTTTGGCACATTAAGATGGAACAAATTTGTGTGACTGTTCACACTATTCCCCAAGTGTGCTACTATAATGGTAGCTAGACGAGAAGTTAGACAAAAACATCTGGGGCTCATATACCATCCTAGAAGTACAACCTCTATACTAGTTCCCCTACTAATGGGCCCAAAGGTTGCGGGATCTTCAGACCCTGGGTACAACAGCCCTTTTAACTAGAAATGAAAATTCCAAAGCCCTGAACAAACAGATAGATTTGGATCTGAGGGAACTATTAATCAGTGAACAGACTTGAGACCTCTCTTGATTCCCTGGCAGAAGTGGTATTACAAAACAGAAGAGGTTTAGATCTCTTGCTCTTAAAACAGGGAAGCCTATGTATGGCATTAGGGGAAACATGTTGCTTCTATACTAATCACTCAATAATGGTAAGAGACAGTCTATCTCTAATCAGAAAGCGATTAAAGGAAAGGGAAGAAGCAAGACAACATGAGGAAACTGGTATCAAAATTTGTTCTCCTGGTCCCCTTGGCTAACTACTCTTATATCAGCTGTAGCCAGTCCATTTTTGTTTGTCCTCTTAGGGTTTTTAATTGGACCCTGCATTTTTAACTGTTTAATAAGATATATATAAAAAGTAAATTCTGTAAAACAGATGGTCCTCTGTACTCACTATAATCAACTGTATACCAATGATGATTAATCAATGGTTTGATTAGTTCCATAAAACCAGTGGGGAATGTTATGGGCCAGGCTATATGGCAATGACCAAACAGACTCCATTTTACCCTGAGACTCCATATCATGAAAGAAATGCTTCTCCCATGGGAAAGCCCCACCTCTGTACCCATTAATAGTTACCTAGCATAGCACACTTGGCAACACAAAATAGCAATTCTTATACGATGTGAAATTGTTCTCTTTGCTTTCCATTTTTCTTGGTTAATGTACCTTGTCAGAGATTGTCTAGACATTAGTAACCATTCTCTAACTTGTACTCAACTAGGGTCCTTTTGACCCCCTTCCCTTCTGCTTGCTTACTGCTATGCCAACCTGGAAAGTCCTGTGGGAAGTACCAATGAACCCATTGCATTGTCTCACTAACTGCCCAATTCAGCTTCTGTACCCGCTTGCCTGCAGCTATGTCAACCCGGATGTGATTTTTAACTTTAAATATCCTAAAATGCTCAGGCTTGGGGCTGTTCCTTGCAGAGACAGTTATGGGTCCTACAAAGAGCAGTCACCAGCTGGCCAGCTAAATAAAGATTCTTCAATTTGGACAAAACTGGGACTTGATGTGTTTTCTAAGTGACCTGCCCCACAACATTTGAAGGCCCTGGGTTCAATCCTCAGCACCACATAAAAATAAATAAATAAAAATAAAGGTATTGTGTCCATCTACAATTAAAAAAAAAATTAAGAAAAATAAAATATTTAGATGCCTATATTCCCAGCTACTCCAGAGGCTGAAGCAGGATGATCACTTAAGCCCAGGAGTTAAAGGACAACTGGGAATATAGCAAGACCCTTCTCAAAACAAAAAAAGTTTAGAATGTTCCTTATAGACCCTTTCTGTTTCACTTCAGAATTAGTGTTCATACATATTTAAAATTTAAAACATTAGAGTATAATAAATACCTTTTAATAAGGGGTGTGGCAAAATAAAATACACATTAAACAATGAATTCTCTTTTTATGAATGGGAAATTGATCAGACTCATTTATATTATTCATGTCATAAATCCAATTTGAAAACTTTGCACAAAGAAACATACCACAGGAAATAATATAACATATAAAGCCTTATCTTCTGAAAATCTTTACAAAAAGTAGAACTTGGCTGGCACAGCACTGCATGTCTGCAATCTCAGTGACTAAGAAGGCTGTGGCAGGAGGATCAATCACAAGTTTGAGGTCAGCCTGGGCAACTTAGAAAGATCCTGTCTCAAAATAAAATATGAAAAGGACTAGAGATAACATTCACAAGATTCACAATCCTCAGTATCAAAAAAAAAAAAAAAAGAACGAACTAGATCTCTTTTAGTAGATAACAGAAAAATACATTATGATGGTATTTATATATTTAAAACAACCCAAAACAAAGAAAAAACACACTCAAGAACGGCACTCACATTATTAAAAAATAGTTATTTACATTTATACAAACAATTGTGTAGCTAAACACCTTTCTAAAATATGCGTATTGTGATGTCTTCTATAATTAAACTTATGAAAGCAAACTAATTGAACATCATCAACTGTCATGATTAAAGCTTTCTGAACCACCAGGAGAATTAAAATTATAAAACTGTTGTTCTGTAAAACTGAAGATAAAATAAGATCAAATTCAGCCTTTTATGAGAAAATCTTATGTATTATATAAATATACATTACTAAGGCTCTTCCAAAAATCAAGAGAACTAATGTGAATTAAATTAGTACAACTGAACAAAACCTCTCTGGTTTAGAAAAGTGGCAAATGACCATGTTGAAAGCTCAACTTCACAAATTTTACCAGACCTATTCCCTCTTCAGTCAAGATAATGAATACATCATAAGAGTTAAAACCAAATATCTTAGATATTCAAATTACATTATAAACCCATCAAAATGTATTAAGTCTATATTAAGTGCTATTTTGTATTTTATTTAGAAACAGAGTCTCACTAAACTCATATGTTTTCCTACATTCTAATTTACATTATTTTCATTCTATCTACATTCAACATACTCTGTCTAGTTAAGAGAGTTGGCTATTTAATTTTCTTGTACTTCTAAATGCTAGAAAAAGTAAAACACAAAGAAGAATATTAAAAATTATTATAATTTGCCAAATTTATTATAATGAATGCTGAATAATATTTATGGGCTAGAAAAACAAACCAAAGGCAAAAAAGAAAATCCTGGTGACATGCTGATGATAAAATAAATTTAGCTGTATTTGCCCTTACTTAACAAAAGAAAAGAGAAAAAAAGATGTTAGCAAAAACCTACTTAAGTAATACTGAAGCATGACATTTCAGAAGCTTTCTGAAAAATCAACATACCATGAAGCAGTATTTTGGTAAAAGTGCAGTGCAAATTGGTTTTTCTAGTTAAGTATGTGCAGCAAAGGAGGCACTTTACAAATAGAAAAATACGATATATTTAAGAAGAAATTAAAATTCATTCATAAAATTCATCCATAAAAAATAATAAGCATTATTCAAAAAGTAAAAATTCAATTTTTATTTAACATGCAGTCAATGTTACACATGCTTCATAGGGAAAAAAAATCCTTTTGAAGATAAGATTGCTGTTTTGCATATAAGAAACAGAAAACAATTCCTTTTCAAGGAATTCTAGATTTCAGAAAATGAAATCCAACCTTTCTCAACCTGCGTTTATTTATAAACTGAGAAAAATACATCTGACTATACTAGACAAATGTTTCTAACCATCAACAAACTATAGCATGTGATCTTCAACTTTATTAATACTTTTTTTTTTTTTGGTACCAGGGACTGAACTCAGGGACAATCAAACACTGACCTACATGCAAAGTGCTATTTTGTATTTTATTTAGAAACAGAGTCTCACTAAGTTTCTTATCAACTCGCTTTTGCTGAGGCTGGCTTTGAACTTGAGAGTCTCCTGTCTCAGCCTCCTGAGCTGCTGGGATTATAGGCATGCGCCACTACACCCAGCTTCAACTTTATTCTTGAAGGATCAGAAGTTTTTATTTCATATAATTTCAAAGAAGAGGATCTAATGGCTCTAAAGAGAATTATGAATACATATTTAGCACCTAAACTTAGAGAACACTCAAGAGTTATCATAGTGTTAAATAGGTACATGTCCATAGTTTAAGGGAAATTAGATATGTGTTATTCAATAATATTAGAATGTGCTAAAAGAGTAAAATACTAAGCTTCCAAAAAATTATCCTTGATTTACAGATGTACCTACCTACAACATTAAAACACAGTCTTAAGTCTTCCTGAAGTTACATACATATATTCTTTTAAACAACTAAAGTGAGGTGAGGTTTATTTTTTCTTAACCACCATTATCTTTCAAATGTGGCACTTTTTTTCAAAGAGTAGACAGAAAATAAATCTTTAAAAAAAAAATCATTCACATTCGACCACTAATCTTATTTTAAATATTCTTCACTATAGGGCAGAGGTCAAAAGTGAAATGAGTGGCCTTGGAACCTCTGTTGAAATACATAAAGAACTATAAGCAGGAACAGAGATGAACATACATTAATTTCTGGCAATGTAATGGCACATTAATTCTCAATCAGCAGGGTAAAAAAGCACTTGATGAAAAGATAAATGTTTGCAGTGACATCATTAATAAGTAAATGGAGCTTAGTATCTCCTTTCTTCATATCAAAAAGAAATATTTTTAGGTTACCTCTCTTAAGTATGCTTGATTTTAATCCCAGATGGAACACTTTACTTTATATGTTAAAACTCATGCATGACATAAACTACAATTTTTCATGAGACAATTTAGTCATTCCCACTAAGAATCCTATAATCTTGAGGATGGGAGACAGCTCAGTGATAGAGCTCATGCTTAGCATGCTTGGAGCCCTGGGTTCAAACTAAAACAAAACAAAAATAAGTATCCTATAATCTTACTTTCTTTTTCTAAATTTGCTTATAAGAAGGCTTTTTTTGACTCAAAAAGAAAAGGTCTTAGGAAACATGTTCTTATTCTAAGTAGACTGGCAAATTTCAATAGTTCACAGCCCTCACAGTTATCATTTATATTGATATAAATTGATTATAAAATATTGTTTAATATATAATTAATTTCCCCAGAACAAAAGAACCAAAATTCTATTTATCATTAAGGTAAATTTTTCAATTTTCTTTAGAAAATTCTAATTTATTTTTGAAAGGAAACAATTACATAAATGAAACATTGTTAATTCAATTGTTAAGAAATAAAGTTCATATAGCTTTCAATATAAATATTGTTTGGTACATTATAGATATATAAAGCTAGCAAATCAAATTAAGACTCAGCTTAGTACCTAGAATCTGAAAAGTGAGTCAAGAATACAAATTTTATATAAATAGTAACAAAATGGATAGAGGTTGCTCTCCTTCAAAAAAAGGAAAAAAAAAAAAAAGGTAACTGAGAACATTAAGAAAATGTTGGATTTCTGCTTCCCTAGAAGCCAGACATGCTACACAATAACGTCAACATGCAATACCTGAAATGTGGAATCACATTCTGGCTGCTGTTCTTGGACTTCTGCATTTAATTTATAATTCTCTGGCGTCTGGCTGACTTCATTTTGCAAAGTAGGAGATACACCATGAGTCTCACCTATGGAAGCACTGTCAGACAAAGCATCTAACTTTTCCAAAGAACAACCTATGTGGAGCTTACTATCTCCTGTCCCTTCATCAAAATTTGTCCTCTCAGCAGCATCTTCTAGCTGTTGAACTGAAGTTAAATATTGTTCAAGCAGATTATTATCCTGCTCATCATTTGAGCTTTCCTTACTCCAGTCACCACAATCTTCACTAACATCCCCTACATCTGGCTCTTTGCCATATTTGACTGTATCAGTGGAATTCCCCATTGTGGAGCTTTCACTGCCTTCTGTGGAACTTTTCTCAAAATCCAAAGAATCCTGCAAATGGTGAACTTGTTCTGTTAGGGAGGAATGAAAACCAGAGTCTGGAAATTCTGGTAAAGATTTCTCTTGACGAACTTCATCATGTGCAATGAACCAATCAGAATTTGAATCAGAAGAAGGCTCATGACTTTGGGTGAATAATGGAGGTTTAGATGGTACCAGAATGCTTGATATAGGAGGAACATCAGTATGCCAGGAAATTAAATGCTGATCCACTGTCTTTTGCCAAGCTTGTAGAGACCTTACCTATAAACCAGAGAGTACAGTTTTATATAAGATAAAAATCATGCTAGTTTGGGGGCTTGGGTTGTGGCTCCGTGGTAGAGTGCTTGCTTAGCATGTGTGAGGCCCTGGGTTCAATCCTTAGCACCACATATAAGTAAATAAAATAAAGGTATTGTCTCCATCTACAACTAAAAAAAAATTTAAATCACGCTAGTTTTAAAACAGTTCTCTGAGCTTTTATTTCCAGCAGTTATGAAGGTTGGTAAATAGCAGAACTGGAATTTTAAAAACTACCCGACCCCACATAGCAGCCCTAGCCTTAACGAAGCTAGCACAAGTAGAACATGTCCTTGGTAACAAGAGGCCCTCACCAGGACAGTGTGAATGGGCCAAGCAGTTTTCTTGCTTCTACCAGAAAAACAAGAAGCACAACAGTACCTGTCTAGCTGAAAAAGGGTTCAATAATGTACAAAATATACATCAAGAATTATTCAATAAGACAGGTTAGATCCTATTTGTTTAAGTAGATCCTTTAACATAATTCTCATTTTAGATATCAATATAGTCATGTTTTAAATTATTATCTAAGAATACAATAATATGTAACTTCCTAAAATGCCGAAAAATATCCCAAATTCTTGATAATAGGACCTATACTTTTTTTGTTGGCATGGTATTGAACCCAGGGGCACTTAACCATTGAGTCACATCCCCAGCCCTTTTTTTTTATATTTTATATTGAAACAGGTTCTTGCTAAGTCCTTAGGGCCTTATTAAGTTGGTTATCTTGAACTTGTGATCCTCCTGCCTTAGCCTCCCAAGTTACAAGTTTGAGGTCAGTCTCAATAACTTGGTGAGGCCCTAAGTGACTTTTTAAATTTTTGTTCTTTTTAGGTATACATGATAATACAATATATTTTGACATATTATATATACATGGAGTATAACTTCCCATTCTTGTGGTGGAACAAGATGTGGAGTTATACTGGTCGTGTATTCATATATGAACATAGGAAAATTATGTCTAATTCATTCTACTGTCTTTCCTATTCTCATCCTTCCTCCCTTCCCTTTCTTCTCCTTAGTCTGATCCAATGAACTTCTATTCTTCCCTCTCCCACCCTTATTGTATGTTAGCATCTTATACCAAGAACATTTGGCCTTAGGTTTTGTGGGACTGGCTTATTTCACTTAGCAGAATAGCCTCCTGTTCCATTCATTTACTGGCAAATGCCATAATTTCATTTTTCTTTATGATTGAGTATTATTCCATTGTGTGTATATATATATATCACATTTTCTTTATCCATTATCTGTTGAAGAATACCTAGGTTGGTTCCATAGCTTAGCTATTATGAATTGAGCTATAAACATTGATGTGACTGTGTCACTATAGTACTAAGCAACTTATTGAGACCCTGTCTCCAAAAATAAAAAGGCCTGGGGTTGTGACTCAGCAGGAAATTAAACGCTGAGTCACAACCCCAGCATTTAATTTAAATTAAACACCTCTGGCTTCAATCCCTGTACAAAAACAAACAAAAGGAACAAAACTACATACACCCTTAACTGAGAAAAAGTGGTTAGGCGTGGGGATACAGCAGAGTGGTAGCATGTGTAAAAAGCCCTGGGTTTGATCCCCAGCACCACAAAAATAAACAAATAAACAGAGAAAAAGAAAAAAGAAAAAAAAAGGGTACTTAATATACATGATTATTCTATAGTTGTTTCAATGAATCTAGTATTCTTTCTTAACAATAAAAGGGGGTTTACCTGGTTCCAAAGGAATTTGACAGCCTCTTCTTGCACGATTTTTTTAACATGTTCTTCATCTCTTTCTTTTCTTAATCTACAATAATTCAAAATACATTTTTGATCAAGGAAGGCTGCTTTGACCTGTACTACCTAATATAACTACAGTATAAACACATGCAGTATAAAGACATTAATAAATCTAATAATTCTCTCCTACTTTTAGAATATCTAAACTGACACCTTAGTTTTAAACTATGACTCAAAGTAAAAACTAAATAAGATGTGATTGAAATTCAGATATTCTTCTATAAACTATTGTCTCATTATAAAAAATTTAAAAATAAAATATCAAATGGCTCTTTATCTGCCTTCAATTTCCCAGCCAAATACATTAAGCGGGTGGAGGTGCAGAAAGGACTGGTTATACAAAACATCCAAAAAGTTAAGGCTCACACTTAAACACTTATGATCACACCTTGAAATACCCTCGTCTAAGACTAGCAGGATTAATCCCATCAAACTTCACTTTCCTGTTTGCCCTAGTCCCTGACATATCCTCTGAGATCTATCACTCCTCTTATTTATTAAGAAGTCTTAGCTCTGGTCTCACTGCTGCCATCTCCATAATTTTGTCACAAACCCTCACTGCTGCCATTTCCATACCAAACCAGGATTCCCTCAGTTATCCAACTGTCACTACCATTTTGACCCAAACTTTTTTTTTTTTTTCTCCCAGAGCTGAGGATCAAACCCAGGGTCTTATGCATGTCAGGCAAGCACTCTCTACCACTGAGCTATGCCGCCAGCCCTTTTCTGAACTTCAGGCCCAATTCTCTACTTTCTCCAGCTCCGTCAAGACATTCTGCTGTGTCAGGTACTTCTGAATTATGATCACAAACTCCCTTTCCACTCAATTTCTCTTTGGATTTTTCCTTGGCCAAAGAAGACCCACTTTTGAGAACGTTATCACTTTCTCAAGTGGAAGCTATTTTTGCCTTCTGTACATCAATGTCAGAAAACTGCTTATCACTGCTGTTTTCAAATGGTTCTTTACCCTCCTTTATTTTTATTTATTTATTTATTTAGGGTATCAGGGATTGAACTCAGGGGCACTTTTTAGAGACAGGGTCTCACTGAGTTGCTTAGCACCTTACTTTTGCTAAGGCTGGTTTTGAACTCATGATCTTCCTACCTCAGCCTCCACAGTTGCTGGGTGCATCACAACATCCAGTTCTCATATATTCACTATTAAGATGACTATCTCAAACCTCATATTCCAACCCTTACTTCTCTTCTCATTTTCAAATATTGACCACAACTAATATATTACTAAAAAAGACCACACATCAGACAGGACTTTCCCATCCTCCCACCATCAAACACACCACCTTACATTCTCCTGCTTCTACCTCACGCCACTTCCTCTACTTTTGCACAGGATCCCTTCTTATTGTACTCCAAGAACTTCAATCCTGTGCTTCTCCCTTTTTTTTTCCACACCATCAGCTTTTCCCTCACTGAATTATTCTCATCAACACCTAAATACACTCTGTATTTCCCATCTTTAAAAAAAGAGAATCTTCTTTAACTCCAGATTCTCCTCTAGCAACCACCGACTCTCTTAAAGAAACACTTCCTAAGAGTTGGGTATACTCATTCTTTAAACTTCTTACCTCCCATTCACTATCCAACCAATTTCAAACTGGCTTTCATCCTCCTATACCACTAAAGGTGCTCGTAGGAAAGTCACTGTGCAGCAAAGGCTTAACTCAGCAGGACTGACACATTCAAGCCTGCATATTCCAAAGACAGAACCTGCCCCTGGTTGGCTCCTGGTTGATAACCTCCAATCTAAGCCATTGGAATATCCTGTCTGAAGAGTATCTTTGTATTCATGGAGTCTTGAGTCATAACAGATAGTTTATGCCAACAATGTGATTCCTAGTGAACACCTGTTTTGTTCACGTGGGAACTTAGGCCATAGTGCATCAGTCTGATGTCTAAGGAACCTGATGTCTGAGTAGTTAAGGTCAGACACATGAGCACTCAATCCCTGTTACTGACCCCCAGATAAAAACCCTGGGGACTAGGGTTGTAGCTCAGTGGTAAAGCGCTTACCTAGCATGTGTGAGGCCCTGGGTTTGATCCTCAGCACTACATAGAGATAAATATATAAAATAAAGGTACTGTATCCATCTACAACTACAAAAAATATATATATATAAAAAAAAAAAAAAACTGAACATCAGGACTCAAAATGAGCATACTTGTTTGGCAAGAGTTCGTATGTGTTGTCATACATCATAGCTGTGAGAATTAAGCCCTGTCTGTACAACACAACCAAGAGAACACAACAGGAAGCTTGTACCTGGCCTGTCCTGCACTCTGCCCTATGTGCCATTTTTCTTTGATGTTTTAATCTGTATGCTTTTGCTGAAATAAACCATAAGCATGAACAAAAGAATATTCCAGAGTTCTGTAAGTACATTAGCAAATCATAACACCTGAGAATAGTCTTAAGGGTCACCAACACAATTACCAACAAGCTCCAACTGCTAAATCTACTGTCTAGTTCTCTCTCCTTCCTAAGGCACTTTTCATCTTTCCTAAAACACCTTCCTCCTGTGGAATTGGACACTTATTCTCCTAGTTTTCCTACCACACAGGTTGTCCCTTCTCAGTTTCCTTTGCTGCTTTCTCCTCTTCCATCTGATAATTTGAATAAATATTGCTAGCTGCAATGCTAATTAAATCCTAATCTTCTTGGGTTGGTAGTCAGTAAATCATATGAGCCATGGAATTAAGAAATAATTCCCGGGCTGGGACTGTAGCTCAATGGTAGAGTGCTCACCTTGCACACATGAGGCACTGAGTTTGATCCTCAGCACCACATAAAAATAAAATAAAGGTATTGTGTCTACCTACATCTAAAACATATATGCATATTAAAAAAAGAAATAGACAATATGATTGATGTATGTACATTCCATGTATGTATTATTTATCAAAATGCATTCTACTGTCATGTATGACTAAAAATAAATAAAAATTTAAAAAAAGAAAGAATTCCTATTGTAACTACAAAATTTTAGTCCCTTTTAAGTCCCTGCTATTTTCTCTACGTCTATGTCATCTACACTTCCTCATCTTCTCTCTTTTACTTATCCAAATTTGCTATATCATCTGGACCTTTTTATGTTTAGAATTATAGATGCCTTTATAGCTCACATTGATTCAACATTTTGTGATACTGCATCCATGCAGCAATTGCTCTGAAGGGGATAGGGATGCATTTGACAATCTGTACCCTAAAAATGCTTTCAGTATATTCTACAAGACAACCAAGTAAGCTAACAGTGGCTACATGGCATGAAAAGTGTCATGACCAGAACAGCACAGTGTTCAAATGACTTAAGAAACCAATATTTCAAACAGACAAAACAGCACCCAACAAGATTTTTGACCCACCTCCTTACTTCATCAGTCAAGCAGACAATATGCTCCTGCATTCTGCGCAGTCGGATTTCATAACGCACCTCTTTTGCTTGAGGATTGTAGTTCCTGGCATAAAAGCCCCGCCAATAGGCTTGAAGCTTTGTGGCTGCTTCATTCAATTTCTGAAGTGTACATTTATCTTGTCCCAAAGCAACAGATCTTTGGGTTAAAATCCTGCAGGGAAATTTCTCTGAAGTTGTTTGAGACATAGTTTCCTCACTATCTGTCTCTGTATGGGAAACATTTTGTCCAGATGACACACACGTAAGATTTTGGTTATCATCCTTCAAGATAGCACTGATTATTGCTGGCGCAGGACAAGGTAACAACACAGCTTTTTCATTTATCTCTGAACTGATCTTACTTTTCAGCATCTGAACAGAATCCTCATTTGAAACCCATAAAGCCTTTTCCTCTTCCTTATCCAAATCTTGATTTTCCAGCTCCTTCACAGATTCATTTGCAACACCATCATCTTCAAGACCCAGGTTAATGCCCTGCAGCCTCAGCTCAACTGTAGGTGATACTGGAGATAGTCCTGATGCAACTGGCATAAAAGTAGACTCTGAAGAGAGAAGACTACAGTTTAACTTGTCTTCATCTGTCTGTATGTCTTCCAGGTGAAGGTCATTTCGAGAATATCTTGTAGTGTGTGTAGAGGCTGGAAAGCTATTCTTAACAGCATATAATTGATCATCATTACTGCTTATCCCAACCCAAGAATTCACTTGGATGACAGGTTCTAGAAGAATCAACAGAGTATCATTTAAATAATTAAATTGTTTTGTTAGTTGTATGCTTTTAATGAAATCTATTCCTTGAAATATAATAAAATACAATAAAATGCCTTCAGTGATTTTCTCCAATATACCTAAAACATCAAACCAAACATTTTTAAGAATATGAATTTTTGTAATAATCATAATACTCAATCCCTCAAGTCCATACAAAAGGCTAATAGTCCTTGAAATGTTTTTTAAAATTAGATGCAATAATTATAATGTACATACACACACACACACACACACATATATACATTTATAAAATAGCAGATCCAAATGATCAGTGAAATTAAACAAGAAATTATAAAATATGTACTTATTCTATATTATAATACCAAATAAATCAAATGACCTGAAGAAAAGTGAATAGAAATAAATTAATTTCTTACCACTTTCCTGGACTATCTGGCAATCTTGAACAGGGCTTGAATGCTCAGGTACAAGGGGTACCCTTGTTTCAATAGGAGAAAGAGGAGACATCTCTTCATTTTGGCTTTGGTTCATCAACTGTCTCTGGTGAAACCTAAAAATCAAAACATCTGATGTTACCAGCATAAAACAAAAGAGAAAGCTCTTATTCTTCCTAGGTAGCAATGTCAAAAAGGTAGAAGTTTACAAGTTTACAAAGCAGGAACCATTAATCACTGGCAAATTATAGTCTTATTTGGAAACACTACAAAAAAAAGGTTAAAACATTTTTAAAATTCCATAGACAGCCTCATATACACATGTATACACATACAGAAATATTTAAATACAGGATCTCTGATAAACAAAGTAACCACTAAATGCTTCTAGTTACACTTCTTTTTCTTTTTTTAAAGACAGAGTGAGAGAGAGAATTTTTAATATTTATTTTTTAGTTTTCGGTGGACACAACATCTTTGTTTGTATGTGGTGCTGAGGATCGAACCCGGGCCGCATGCATGCCAGGCGAGCGCGCTACCGCTTGAGCCACATCCCCAGCCCACACTTCTTTTTTTTATACTTCTTAATATTAGTCTTTAAAAACCTATGACACGCCTACATTAAAAAGTCAAATACATTTTTTTTTGAGGTGCTAGAGATTGAATAAGATAGGCAAGAACTCTACTACACTGAACTATAACCCCCAGGCCCTGACAAGTACATAGTTTTAAAAATTCCATTCCCCCAGCTCATATTGCTTGGCTCCTCCCTCATTAAGGGGAAATTATTGGTAATACAGATACCACAGAGCAAGCTACACTTGTGTGATTCAGAACTACTGCAGTGACAAGGGGCATAAGTGCCTGGAGATACAGGCCAAAAACACTGGCTTAACCATACAAAAGACTTAGAGGTATTTTCACTTGTGAATTCATCAACTGCCACAAATAAATGGGTTTACCTCTGCTTACTCAGAATCTTCTCTAGTTTGGCATCCTCTGCAGTTTGAAGACCCAGTGTAGAAGTGAGAGGGCAGACTGTAGCTAGATACTGAACAAGCTGGATATGCTGGCCAGGCCGATATGCTCTCCCCTTGCCTTGACTATATAGCCACTCAGCTTTTAAACTGGAATTGAAAGAAATAAAGAAGAGAGGATGACACTGGGGTGTTCAAAATACATTGTTAAGCAACAATGACATTCCTTCTTAATTAACCTTTATAAAGCCATTGGCTATTTTTCATAAATCCATTCAAGTTTTAAAAAATCTATGCTCTGACTCATTTCTCTTACTCTAATAATGTTTTAAAGCTTTATTCTTACTTAGAGGATTTTCCATAGGTTGAATTAATGACTCCAAATATTTTAAAATTATTTGCAAAGAAGCAATCAGTATTTTCTCCATTCATCTTATCAAACTGAAGTACTTCTGTATATTAACAACATTTAAATCCATTAGTTCATAATGACAATTTTTAAAATAAAAAACTAGTCATAGAGAATGCCAGTAAATCACCAACTCATTTTCTAAAAATGGTAAATAAAGGCAAGAATTAAATATCATTTCTTATACAAACTATACCAATGGGTAACCTAGATTCTTCATAATAAAAAACTGAATGATAGAATTAGAATTTTACAACTGTTAATCAATTAATTGTTTTAGGCTTTGATCAGAATCATGAGAGACAACCAGACACTGGATGTCACCCAATAGAGGACACAAAGCGGTAGTCTTACCTTAAAAAACAAAACAAAACAAAACAAAAAAACCCTGAACCTGATCAAATCTTCATATCCCAGTTACCAATTTTCAGGTAGTACAGAAGAGAGAAGAACATGTTAAAGACATAGGAAATAACCATACCCAGCAAAATGAGCAGACAGTGGGAAAACTTTTTAGGCCAAATAATTCAATTTCTTCAACAACCAAGAAAAAAAAACAAAGATAGATTTAAGGGATTAAGGGAGTCATCCTGGACATCCAGTCAAGTCAAGCCTTCAGATGATTCTAGTCCCATGTGATGTGACTGCAGGGACACATGATCCCAAGTGAAAACCACCCAATCAGCACAATCTATGGAGCATGTAATAATAATAAATTGAGCTGGGGTTGGGCCTCAGTGGTAGAGTACTTGCCTAGCAAGGGTGAGGCACTAGGTTCAATTCTCAGCACTGCATGTAAATAAATAAAGGCCCATTGAAAACTAAAAAAGTGTTTCAAAAAACAAATAAAATTGATATTTTAAGACACTAAAAAAAGAAATTTAAGAGCAATATCAACCAATTGCAAAACATGGCCTTATTTGAATCTTATTTCAAAAAAAGTCCATTTTAAAAAATAGAAAAACTATTAGAAATGTAAGCTCTGACTGAATATCTGTAATTACAAAATTATCCTTAATTATTTGAGATGTAATATTAGTTTTGTGATTACCACTTTAAAAGCTCTTTTAGAGAAAAATACTGAAATATTCACAGATGAAATGATATGTAAACTGAGATTTCCTTCAAAATAATACAGAAAAAGGGAGAGTAAATGAAGGTACATAAAGGAAACCAGGTTGGCCATGTTGAAATTGGGCTATTATGGAAGGTCATTATCTCTGTCCACCTTACCAGATGCTTCTCAGATATGAAAACACTGCCACTATAGAAAAATGCAATAATTATATCTTCTTTCTCCTAAAGGAAGAGCCACAGAAGATAATTCAAGTAAGCCTATATTTTAATTTTAGAACCAATCAGTTTGAAACAAAATAAGGTTTCTTCTCAGAGCAACACTAATTTCAGGAAAAAGGAAAAGCCACCCATTTTGTAAGCAAACTAGACCTAACATATATCTTTTAATCTGTACCAGCATCACCACTATTTAGTTCCTGGATGCCATTCCTCACTGTTCCCTACTCTATCCAGCAACTACATGAAATTTCAAGAAGGAAATTTCATTACAATATGCCACTCATCCTCTATGAGGAAACCCCTCGAGTAACCTATCTGTAGCACAGAGGATTTTAAAAAGTGAGGGAGAATGTGAGTGCTATGTTCATGAATGCATGTGTGTATGTACTAAGAGCAAAGAATGAAATGAGGCATGGTAAAAAGAGTAACTTTCATCTCATCCCCTCTAATTCCCTGACTCTTGTCCACATCCTAGTTCCTTAACTCTTCTAAATTGTTGATTCTACTGATCTTGTACCAGTATCCAGAAGATTCCACTTGTCAGGGTCCCAGTCCAAGCCACAGAGAGGATCAATGATCCAGAGAGGGGGAAGTTCCAGTTCTGTCAGTTCTCAGGTATGAGAAGGGAAAGACCAATTGGTATGTCTGCTACTAGTTCCAAATTGGAACTGTCTGCATGAATTATAAAAAGTAATTGGGTTCTAGTTTTATTGTTATTTGTTTTGTTTTGTTGTTTGTTGTTGTTGTTGGGGGGGGGGGGTGAGTATGTGTTGCTAGGGACAAACCCAGGGCCCTGTGCATGGTAAATAAGCACTCTACCACTAACCTACACCACTAGCCCTAAGTTCTAAGATATTATCATTAATATTTCCCTTAATTACATAATAGGTTATAAGCTTTTGTGGGATTGATCAAAGATGCTCCACAATATCTATAATCTCTTATCTATGCAAAACTGTTTCAAGTTCCAAACAACTTATTAACAAAAGAACTCTTCAAAATTAAATTATTATAAGGTTGGGCACTAAGTTAGACTCACTACCCATAACTTCTGGGGCTCACATTTTCTTCTTGCTCTTATGCAGAAGGGAGAGACAATCCTAAATAATCAGCATATAGCCTGCTATGTGATTGCAGTAATGCTCTTAATTTCTAAACTAACATTTTCAGAAATATCCAATTTATTAATCTGTAATACATTAGAAATCTTTTTGGTCTTCCATGATTTATGTGATGTTAAAGAGGTCATGTTCACCTTTCCTTCTGAGAAATCACGTATCCATCTAGGACTCTCAGATTTAAGCACCAGCTGACAATATATGGCCGATAGTCAAACCCGGGAATGGACGGTGTTGCCATCACACAAGGATTGTTCATGATCGACAACTGCTCCAGTTCAGTTAAAGATGCCAAAAAAGAGATCTGGAACAAAGGATATATTTGTTGAACAAAATGGACTATTCAGTGTCAAGCACGGGGTTTCCGCTGATTACACATCTTTGGCAGCATTTTAGAATTTAACAATTTACCTCTTGTTCTGAAAAGCAATAAGTAATACTCTTTCATTAGCAACAGACTTCCAAAATCCCAACAATATGACCATTTGTCCTTGCTGCACAGATTCCCTTAAAAAGTATCAGCACTATTTCCTAGGAGAGATACTCCTATTTTGAAAACATAGGGTGCCTTAGTAATCCTTGAAATGTAGATGTCTCACTATCACCAATCACTTCCCAATGTGATAGCTGCAATATAATAAATGAAATTAAACCTTAATGTGTGACTTACATCCAGAAAAAGTGGGGGGAAAAAATAACGATTATCTAGAGCCAAGTGTTTCGTCTTGATGGATTTTCTTCTAAGATGCTCACAGTCTAAAAGTGAACTCACTAACCTCTCCAATGCATCTCCTGGACCTTCCAATATCCTGGATCCCACAGAATATCTTCAAATTTTACCTCATTTAAGTCCCGGATTTCATTTTCTGCCAAAGACAGTATAGCAAGACTTCTGGGTAGATAAGCAGGTGCCATTCTAAGTGAGGTGATGATGTTTCCATGTAAAAGCAGGGTCTTGAAGGTAAAAACAGTATGAATTACCAATGAATAAAGTACAAATAAATTGTCAGACAACATTAAAATGGCATATGCAAGAATAAAGGAATCTATTTTGTTATACTTGTCATTGCACATAAATCAAGATTATTAATACTTCAAAGGGACCTAGGATATATTCTGATCTAACTTTGTCTTTTCATGACAGCATCTTAAACTCAGGGAAGGTTAAAGACTTGTCCAAGTTAAAGACTTGTCCAAGCATACTGTGAGATTTACCTTATTAAATACAGAGAGCAATTTTGAATACTCTCATTCATTTCCTTCAAAACACCAAAATAGAGGATGAAAAAAGTGAACAAAAAGTCATTAAAACAATCATACAGGGCTGGGGCTGTAGCTCAGTGACAGAGTGTTTGCCTAGCATGTATGACGCATTGGGTTCAATCCTTAGCACCACATAAAAAAACTAAACAAATAAAGGCATGCTGACCATCCACAAATATAAAAAAATAAAATAAAAAACAAAACAAACAAACAGACCAAAAAAAAAAAAAAAATCAACCAGGGATTAGGGAGTATCTCAGTGATAAAGCACTTGCTTGGCATGCACAAGGCCCGGGATTTAATTCTTAACACAGCAAAAAAAAATAAAATAAAATAAAATAGCCCATAGGTTACAACTACACTCTTTTGGTAACTAAAAGCTAGAGGAAGCCAGGAGCAGTGGTGCATGCTTATGATCCCAGCAACTCAGGAGGCTGAGGCAATATCATTAAATTCAAAACCAGTCTAGGCAACTTAGAAAGGTCCTGCCTCAAAAAATAAAGTAAAATAAAATATAAAAAGTTGCAGATCTAGCTCAGCACTACAGTGCTTCTCTACCATGTCCTAAGCCCTGGGTTTAATCGCCAGTACCACCCACACACACCAAAAAAAAAAAAGCTAGAGGAAGGCAGAATGTGCATTTTGCATATGAGGCTGATTCACATTAAGTCAACAACAAACAAGAATAAAAACAAGACTCTGAATATTCAGGATTCTGATCTGGTAATCATGTTTCCATTCCAGAAAAAAACAAAAACAAATTAAAATGTTCAATTATCTTTAGTTCATTTGAATTCTCTTAGTATCTATTAGAGTAGTATCTGTCTACATCAACGTGTTTAGTATAGTTGTTGCTAAAAGTGATTTCTCCCAGCAGCTCCAGAAGCTGAGGCAGGAGGATCCCAAGTTCAAAGCCAGCCTCAGCAAAAGCAAGGTGCTAAGCAATTCAGTGAGACCTTGTCTCTAAAAAAATATAAATAAAATAAGGCTGGGGATGTGGTTTAGTGGTCAACTGCCCCTGAATTCAGTCCCTGGTACACCACCCCCCATCCCCCAAAACCAAGTGATTTTTGAAGAAACACAGAGATAAGATATTGCTTCTAAGGTTTAATGAGTTTATTCTGATCTAAGTACTACTATCCAATGAATCAAAAATACAGAAAAGGCCTACATATGTTTTTCGAAGCTGTGATTTCATCTGTTGATTGCATGATACATTACCCTTCATTAAAAAGTACTGTATTCTATGGGCTGGGTTTATAGCTCAGTGGTAGAGCATTTGCCTGGCACATGTGAGGCCCTGGGTTTGATCCTTAGCACCACATAAAAATAAATAAATAAAATAAAGGTATTGTTGTCACTCTACAACTAAATATATTTATTTAAAAAGTGTTCATCTTTTAAAGTAAAGAGAAATTAATTGTTAATTAAGTAGCAACTATTACTAAAAAAATAGCAACACTAAGTGTTAAAAAAAAAAAAAAAACAACTAAATTCAGCCAGGCATGATTGTGCACACTTGTAAGTTGCAAGCACCTATTAGCACCAGCTACTTAAGAGGCTAAAGCAGGAGAATCACTTGAGCTCAGGAGCTGCACAACAAAACATAAGACCCCATATCAAACAAACAAACAAAAAAGACTCAAGTTCAGGTTTTGTTACTTTCAACCTTACTAATGTGTTTTTACTATATAACTAAAGCCACTAGCATGTTTGCTGGTTGAGCATGAAGGAAATTCTATCATGTGCACACAATGGTAAATAAGAATCTTAGCTACAATGATCACTTTCACATAAAACAAATCAGTCATAGAAACTAACAACAAAGCCAGGCATAGTGGGGTATTATTATAGTCCCAGCATTTGAAAAACTGAAGTTAAAAGATTGCTTGAGAATTTGGAGACTAGCATGGGCAACACACTGAGACTCTGTTACAATAAAAAGAAAGAGAGAAGATAGGATAAAAAAGAAAAGAACTATAAAAAACTCCATACTTTATTTTGGTACTCTAATAGAATTCTTATCATAATAAAAACAATCTGTTCTTCATATATGGGAAGCTAATTTGAGGCTAATCAGATGATATTTTCTTGTTATTTGGGATACAATTTCAGAAATGACAGAAAACATGCTTACCTTCAAGGATATTAATTTGGATAAATCACCTATCTGGGGTATATTATTGTCTGATAAATCAAGGTGCTGTAGAGCTGTGCAGCTATTGATTTGTTCCATGGCCTATCACAAGAAAATTATCACATTATTTATTGCACTCAAAATCAAAAATTAAAATTATTCCATAGTTCCTGAAGCTGAAAGAGTTACCTACCATATCTTATTATTATTAGAAGCAGGGCAGCAAAGTTGAACAAGAGAAAGGGGAAGAGTGCTAACAAAATTTAATAAACTATCATGCTATAAATTTCCACTCTCACAATTCCTCTATGAATAGAGGACTAGCAAGCAGTTCATACCATCCTAGATATTTAGTCTGAAAAAACCGTAATAACATGAAAATTAATACAGAGTTTACAAGTTTAGAATGTAGCCAAACAGCCTGGATTTAAATCCTGGCTCTGCAACTTCCTGGATGTATGACTTTAGGCAAGTTATTTAACTTCTCTATGCTTCAATTTCCTCATCTATACAATTGGCATCATAACTATACCTACCTCGTAGGCTGTGGTGAGATTGAATGACCTAAAGCAGATAAAGCACTAGGAGAATAACTAGCATAAATTGTTCAACAAAAGGCAGCTATTACTATCATTTAATCTAGTCCACTGAAAAGTAAGACAAAGAAACACTTATTAACTTATCCAAAATTATACAGTTTCTAAGTAGTGGAAGCAGGACTAGAATCCAGATATCATGACTTTTAAAACAGTATATTCTCCATTGTACCATTAAATATTACTTAACCCTTAATTCAGCAGGACATAAACTCTCTCCTTACCATTGTATTTGTTTGATTGACTTTTTTCCTAAATATAATATGGATTCTTGTTCCCATTTACAAGAATACTGCTTTGTGTGTTTAAAAATGAGATTTTTTAAAACTTTATGTTGACAAATGTTATCCCTGGAGAATGGGAGTAATTTCATTTTTTTTTAAACTACTTATTTCTATACTGCTTCAATTTTTCTTTTTTATAGAAAATAGATCTATAATGAAAAAAAAAAAAACCTAAAAAACCTAATTACTAAAATAAAATACACAGTTTACCTTGAGATTATTTCCTGCCAAATTCAGCCATTCCAAATGTACTAGTTCCTTTAGCCCTTCCACATAGCCAATACTATTATGAGGCAAATTTAATACTCGCAATTGGGTCAGTTTGGCCACACCCATCATCCGAACAAGCCGATTATTAGCCACTGACAACTGTAGAAAGGAAACATATCATTATTCCCAGGAACAAACAAATATGTGTGTGTGTGTGTGTATGTTTTTATGTGTCTATATGTGTATACATGTGTATATTATTTTCACATTACAGTGGTTTAAAACACACAAACCCAATTTGTACCTTTCACATATATCATCTAAATCTATTATTTGCAATATAATTACTGGTTTTTTGTTGTTGTTCCTAAGCAACACAGGTATAACTGAGTGATTAGACCTCCTTCAATCACTAAAGACCTTTTTTTAAAATATTTTTTTTAGTTGTAAATGGACTCAATATCTTTATTTTTATGTGGTGCCAAGGATCAAACCCACTGCCTCACACAAGCAAGGCACGGCTCTACCACTGAGCTACAGCCCCAGCCTCTAAAGATATTTTTAACAAAGCAACAACTTGAGAATGTAAGCCCTGAGTCAAAACCTAGAACATAGAGAGACACATGACAGAGACCCAGTAAACATTTCTTGGATGATGAATGGTTGAATAAACTCTTTACTCTCATTATTAGGTAAAAAGTTTATCTTTTTTTAAATTTTTTTTAGTTATTGATAGAACTTTATTTTTATTTATGTATATGTGGTGCTGAGAATCAAACCCAGTGCCTCACACATGCTAAGCAAGCGCTCTACTACTGAGCCACCATCCCAGCCCCTAAAAAGTTTATCTTAACACTGTATTTTACCAACATAAAATGTTTTTTCTCTTTAATAATGCTTCTTTCTCTAGTCCATTCTAAATGTAGCACATACATGTTCATATTCAAGAGAAACTGTCATGTAAAAATTTAAGGCAACATTTACCGCTTTCCAGGCCTGCAGAGTTACTTTTTGTCAGGTTATTTTATTGCTTTATTTTGTTTAATAATAACTTAGTGCTATTTCACGGATAGCAACACCCACCTGTATTAATCGTTTGCATTTCTCTAGATTTTCCAATTTAATAATCTGATTTTTATCCAGAATCAAAGTGTGAATATCAGCTTCACAGGGTAAATTTGAACCTAACTTCTGTAGTCCCTGCCCTGACCAATTGACCACTGATCCTTGAAAAGAAAAGAAAATTTGTTAGAAAACACACAAATATGACAGCTGAGCAGAGGGATGGAATTATACTAATAAAACCTCTATACAAGTTAGAAAAATACTACAGCATAATAAACATCAAAATTTTAAAGCTCCCACTATTGTGCCCCATCCACAAAAATGGAGTCCTAATTAGAATAAGATATATCCTATGCTTGTATAATTTTATCAAAATGGATTCTACTGTCATATATAAGTAAGAAGAATCAATAAAATTTTTTTAAAAATGTAAAGCTAAAGCAATCTTGAGTTCTAAATAACCACAGATTCAATAACTAATTTTTCCTCAGAAATATCAAATTACAACTAGATTTGTGATATTCAAGTTTCTATAATCCTTTGAAATTGTTCACATTTAAGTATGAGCTATTACTTCCATATTTTGTACGTAACAATGGCATTTTTTTATGGAAATAAACGTTTGATAAATATCAATCTGTTTACAACCTAAACAGATTGGGCCTATCTGTAAGTGCCCAAACTATTTGAAAATCAAAGCATAGTTCAGTTAATTCTATAAAATAGAATAATACACTCATTACATTAGTCTGATGCTGAGGAAAGCTCTTTAGGGTAACATAACAGACATTCAGATCCTGGCTCCACCAGTAAACCACTTTGGATAAGCAAGTTTCCGATGTCTCTTGAGCTCACTTTTTCTATTTCTGTAAAATGGGAATTTATCCTATAACACCTGCCTTATAAATGCTGTTACACACACACACAAATGAGGTGAGCAAAGCATTCAGAAAATGGGCTCATAAAAAATCGCTCTATAACCGTTAACTGCTATTATCGTCAGTTAAATTGCCTTGGTGGGCTATGGAGGTGGAGATTTCTTAAGAAAAGCAACCATCAGAAGGGGCGGGGCCAGAGAAACTGCCAATTTCAAATTTCTACCTAGATTAGGACTACTGCGGGAAATAATCAGGCGTGATTGCTCTCCCGGCGGGTCTCAACATTTCCTATTACCTAAAGGCTTTTAGCATGTGAGGGGTCTTGAGCCCCTCTGGGAATGTTGTTGAAAGCTGCATGCTGTCCCAGGAAAGTGCAATCTCCTCACACTATTCCAAGAGATCGACAGACCTCTTAGAACCGTCTACCGACTCCTGCCCCAAGAATTTACGGCTCCCAGACAACCAGTCCCGGGTCTGAGTAGTGGAGACGAGCCTCGATCTCGGTCCAGCCGCGGATCCACAAGGCGGCTACCAGCCTCAGAGCCGTAACCAAAACAAAGGAGCCCAGGTCCGGCACTCCACAGGGGTATCTCCGGGTCACAAAAGCACTTACACCTCGCGCTCTGCTCAGCAACGATGCAGAACAAGGGGTAGAGAACTGTGGGCTCTGGATCACCCCTAGATTTTTATCACGGCCAGTGGCCATTTCCAAGTGTTCCAAGTCAGTCTACGGAGAAGAGTCTGAGGAAATGTTTCCTGAACGTTCTTGGAACCGAGGGGGAACACGGACGCGTGAAGCAAAACAGATAGATCCTGCCAATTCCTTTTAGGCATTCCGAATTCACAGTAAACGTTTAAGAAAGGTCAGAGCAACCCGAAGCCCACCGCCCAGCCAGGCTTGGGAGCGCGGGACGCGGACGACTGGCGTCGCGAAGGCTCCTGGGGACTGAAGTCCCCAGTACAGCCCTCGCCGCGCCGCTGCGGAGCGGGACAGCACACCGTGACTACAACTCCCAGAAGGCAGCGCGCCTGCGCGTCGCCCACAGCTCCGCATCAAAAGAACAGGTCCAGAACTGCATCTCTAAACCCAGGCTTCTCCTCTCTACCAGGCATCTGTTTAATTCGGCTGGGTGGAGTAAACTTTGGGATTCTGGGGTAGGGATCGCCTTACCTTCTCCGGGAGGCAAAGTCGCATCAGCGCGTGCTACAGCCATACTTGCCGCTTGATAATAACACCAGGCAACCGTCCTCCAGCCGCTCTGTGGAGCTTGTGGTCTGCAGGAAAGAGCCGGAAACTACAACTCCCAGGATGCACGGCACCCAGACGGCTCAATTGGCTGCCTAATGATGTGAACCCGAGCTAAGATCTGAGCGGTAGTGAGCTCAGGGACCCTAGTCAACTGCCTTATTTGACGGGTAAGCAAATGTCATTGTTAGATGATCGTTTCACACCCTGCCCAAGTGTTTGCGAAATTTGAAGCCTTTATCATAGGATGATTATAAGGATGCTCCTTACTGAGGACCGAATTTGGGAGCTGATTGCTAGAAGTCTCAGTGAAGGCTGCCCCTTCTTGTGACAATTCTGAATAAGTTTAAAGATTTCAATCAACTCAGCCATAGGAATAACTTGGCGATCTTGTTGAGTCAAACGGATGTATACGTTTATATGAAATTTTAGTTAAAAGTGTTTAAAGCATTCCGAAAGAGAAACTGTTATACATTGCTTTTAAGCAGTTGTTCTTGCATAGTTGGCAGAACTTCTGACCTGGGAGTATATTTAATAAGCGTGAGCTCATAATTTTTTTTCCAGATAATTCAAAAGAAGTTTAACATATAGTTTCCAAACTCAGGAATTACATTATCTAATTGAAGGAGAGTAGGCTTACATTTTTTATATACCTATTACATACTAAATGGTGTAATTTTAAGTATGAACTTAATATTTCAGAAAATGGAGAAATAAAGGTAAATTATAATCTTCAGGAATGACTTGATTGGGGAAGCAAAATGGAGCTCTTTACTACTTTAAAACAGTTCAGAAGTAGAAAGTGAAAAGACATTAGCACAGGCTGCATGCAGGTGAAGGGTGCTAAAGAAGTTGTGCTCACAGGAAGTGAAAAAATAATCTGATACCAAATTTGTATACCAAATATACAAAGGGAACTTCTGCTTTCTTTTACCAACTCTCCCATTTTATACTGAACTCCCCTCTTTCTGAAATGGTTCTCCAGTCTCTGATAATTTGGGAAAATCGAGTAACTCAAGCTTCTAGATTTTAAGGCATTTGATTCTGTAAGGACTCCCTCCTTCCCAGGTTCTACTACCTCTGGCTTCATTTGCCTTAGCTTTTTTCTATTTCCCACGGGATTAGTCTGAACCTGGATCTGAAGAGGCAATGAGAAGGAGTATTCTTTTTCCTTTAATCAAGAGACCCATTTCCTAGAGAACACAGTCTTATTATATGTGTAAGAACAGCAAATATGAATATTGCCTGTTCTCTGTGTCAACTAAAATAAAAAAAACAACCAAAGAGAGATTCTCCAGTGAATTTATTTGGGAATAGAACAGCCCTCTGATGGGAATGTGTATACCATAGTAAACTATGGGAATATTTGAAACGGAGGGGAAACCTGAATAAACCACCCACTCTTAGTTACTGATTAAACCTCCTAGACCTAACCCTCCACCTTCTCATAGTTAACCTCCAGTCACTTTTCCCTGTACCTGCTCATACATATCTCAAACCGTGTCTTCCTGGAAGTAGACTTGAGACTTGCTCTCCTGGCTATACACACTTGGCCACATTGTGACAAAACATGTTCTCTTTTGCAAAACTAGACATTTCAGTGAGTGGCCTACTGCATGGCAGGCAAAATGGGCCTGATTTACTAACATATTCTAGTAAGTTGAGGGAAGGGAATTACTTTTGTTGTTTTATTTTTAGCTTTTGTTTTTTTGGTTTTGTGGATCTGGGGATCAAACCCAAGGCTTCACATGCTAGGCAAAGTGCTCTATCACTGAGCAACATGCATCCCTAAGCCAAGGGAATGTTTTTAAAGACAAAAATGAAGATTACATCAGATATTTTGAAACAATCTGAGTCACAAAGGTAAATTTTAGAAAGTGGAGTCAGTCCAAGATGAACAGTTACTGGGCAGATGTTCTTGTAAAAGTGCTTTTTTTTTTTTGTTTTGTTTTGTTTTTTTTTTTTTTTTGGTTTGTTGGTTTTTGTGTATGGTTATGGTGGCTTTTGTGCAAGCTTGTGGCTCTGCCAGAATCTCTTATGATAATTATTATAATAGAATCATAAGGAAGAAATCCTTCCTTCATAATTCTCCAGCTTTATTTATGGTTGTTGTTGTTAGGGTTGACAAAAGTGACTCCCTTTTTATTCTGACAAGGGTCACATTTCTTTCACACCTGAAATGAGCCAGGATGATTGAAAAGACTATCTTTCTAGCTCAGGGATAAACAAAATGTTGACAGTAATGACTTGGGAGGGAATTCTGGAAGTTTAGAGAGTACTTCAGAATCACAGATTTCTGCAAATTTACAGCAAGAACTTGTTGGAAACAGTGTATAAATTATGGGTTTGTTTGAGTATCATAAGGCAGGGAGACTATTTTTCTGGGAACTCCTGGGTGAAATTCCCCCATCCAAGAAAGCCCAGATCATGCTGGTACCCTGACTTAGCTCACAGCCCTAGGTTCAAACGCAGCTGCCTGGAGATGGTGGAACCTGCCAAGCCCCAACTTGTTTTCCCCATTTTTATCCTGTTTTCCTCAAGAAACCTACCACACTGAAACCCATCTGACATAGTTCCCCTTAAAAAAAGGATTTGGGCCTTTTTCCCTTGTTCAGTTCCAGTTCCTATCAGGGCTGGAAGACCCACCAATGCCCTGCCTTTATAACTATTTCTGTCTATTGTCTTCTGTTCCTTTTTGATTATTTTCAGACTCTTTATTTTCCTGGCCAGTTCATAGCTCCAAACAGGAATCTGCTCTCCCGGGGTACTGGTAACCCCAACAAGAACCAAAACAAAGTTTTAACTGGTTTACCTGCCCTGGGATCCTAATGGCAGAAGCATAGTTATGGCTCTTAAAAAGTCCAGATGTTCCTGGGCAAGGTCTCACATGCAGAAATGACTCAGCAACCCTTCAATCATAGCACAGAAATTCTTTTGTGCTTCAGATACAGATTTTATGTCCAAAATCAAATGGCTACCCATTTAACTAATTGACTCATTTTCTATATATTTAACCCTACAAATTCTAAAAAAAATTGGAGCTTTCTACTAATTAAAACTGTGAGCCTCTCAGCAAGGTAGTATTTCTTTGGCAAGGCCCGGGGTCTACAAGAAACATTTTTGTTTCTATCAGCCCAGTATACCTGATCCCCAACAGACAATTGCCCTGACTCATCTTTTCTGGCTCTAATTCATCTGCCAACCATACTGGCATGAACCAAGTAAAACAATGCCTTTTACTGAATTAATCCCATTCGCAAAAGCTCCCACTTGAAAGTCAACTTTCAAAGGTCACCTATAAACTACTGGCCTCACTCTGCTTCCCACCTTTCAATCCACTAGTTTTCTTTTGGTGTTTTTAAGTAAGGGATTGACACAATGGAGCTTGTGTTTTAGAAAAGTTACACTGCTCATATAACAAGGATAAACTGAAATGTAGATCCGCAGCAGGAAGGAGATTGTTGTAATAGTGGATTTCTGGAGAGTATTATATAGTTTAGACAACGCAAAGTACTAAGTAGATAAAAAACTGGAACAACATTAGTACAATTTACCTTGACAAAACGAAGGTGGTTTTCTAATTATCTGTTAGGGAAATAAACATAATAGTTTTTAAGTTTTCAAATTTTAAAACTGTTATTAATATAATGAATTGTAATACTGTAAAGATTTAAAAAATATGCCGATATTTTTTTACAATAAAAAAGTCATTAGCCTGGCACAGTGGCCCATGGCTATAATTCCGGTTACTCAGAAGGGTAAGACCATAGGATTGAAAGTTCAAGTCCAGCTTTGGCAATTTAATGAGACCCTGTCTCAAAGTGTGAGTGTAGCTCAGTGGTAAAGTACCACTGGATTCAATCCCCAATATCTCACACATACACACACGTACACACACACACACACAAATCTTTATTCAAAGATTTAGGTACATTAAATTAAATATGCTCTTTCTTGGTTATTATTCATTGGTAGACCTTTAAGGTCTTGCAACCTTATTTATGAACCATAACAAGGAAGGAGACTGCTGCTATGAAATATCCACTTAAAAGTTATCTAGAAGCCCCAAATGAGCTTTAACTTTCTTTATTATCTATTATCATTATTTATCTCCTGCTATATGCTAGGCTTTGTGATAACTACTTTATATGTTAGTAATGTTTCTCCTAATTTCATATATTTTTATGTGTAACCTATTTACGTATAGAAATATATGTGATGTTTCTCCTAATCTTGGACTTGTAATTTAAATTGTGCTTTGCCTTCTGAAAAATGGCAATGATAATTTCCAAACTATTATCACCACCGTGATAATTCAATTAAAAATCTTAGAGACCCAAAACAGTGTCTCTAGCGTATGGTAAACCTCAATAAAAGGCAGTGATTTTTTAAATTTATTATTGCTAAGAGGTGGCACTTTCCAGTAAAAAAAAAAAAGTACAGATTTTATGAAATTTTCAGTTTTCTAAGTCATATTTTTAAAAAGTAAAAAGAAACATATTGTTTTATTTAACCCAATATACCAAAAAATATTCTCCTTTCAACATATGCATGTTTAAAAATTAATGTTAATGTTTTTACATTCTTGTTTTGGGTTTTTATTTTGTTTTTTCTTGGTTCTATGTAAATACTGGGGATTGAACCCAGAGATGCTGTACCACTGAGCTAAATCCCAGCAGTTTGTTTTGCTTTGTTTACTTTGAGAAAGGGTCTCATTAAATTGCCAAGGTTAGCTTCAAACTTGCAATCCTTCTGTCTCATCCTCCCAAGTCACTGCAATTACAAGCCTATGCCACTGTGCTTAGCTACATTCTTGTTTTTAATTATGTCTTTAAAATTCAAAGTATATTTTACATTTACAGCATGTCTCGGTGAGGACAAGCCACATTTTAAATGCTCATTAGCTTACATGTGGCTAGAAGCCTACCGTCCATATAAGAAAATGCAGCTCTAAGGGGGTGATTTCACCTTGTATTTTACACATTATTTTGTGTTCTTGGAAGTTTAAGAAATCATTTATTGTTCATAC